ACATTTTCTAATACTGAACATGATTAGTATAGTATGAATAATGGAATTGTATGAAGAAAAGACGATCCCAAAAGAAAGTTCCCTAGCAATAAAACTATTACTCTGTGCTAATATGAGTTATTTCAGAATGGGCATCCATACTCAAAAACTATACCTACCCGACCTCAACAAACTGTACCGAAATCAGAACAGCTAAACTACTCGATAAGATTTTGGCATTTCTATTTAATTGTATTAAGCTATCTCACAGAGACCAGATGTCCAAGTTCGGTCAGAAACTTGAGTAAAGTTAAGTGGAAACGTTGCCGTTACGTAGCGCTACCATCTCCTGATTTCCTCTATAAATTTATCACTTTCGACCAATTTGGCGCTAGTACCGATAAATTACCTGCTGAAAATTGCCACTTGGCGCTACCAGCACTTAGTGTCTAGTGTAAGTTTTGCAACGCCAGCGCCATCATGTTGTCAAAGAGGGTTTTTAAGTGGGGAAGTCGCCGCTAGTGGCGAATAGGAATCTTTACACAAGTTTTTAGAGAAATTTTGGAACCTCAACGTCTGTTTTCTGTAGCTATCTTATATCGAGCTCTTTTCAATAATTGCAACATGTGAATAATGCAGAACAAGTTTAAATTGTTCTAGTGCCAAATTGGTTTTGAAGGAAGGTCAAACTACAAACGAACAGCTCAGCCGCTCTGAACCCTATGAAAATTATGCTTTCCCAATATGGTACCTTCTCTCACTATAAACCTGTCATTTCTAGCCTATCTGAACTATTTAATAAATGGAAACCATAACATGGGTTACGCTCCTCCTAAGCGGGCCCTCCGTAAACTATTTCTGTCTTATCTCAAATGCCAATGGTTTGAATGTATCAATACATTGGAAATGACGTTCAATCAAATAAACCCATACCCCACTCACTTGGCCAGGCTTCAGAATCGTCCAGTGGGAAGTGCGCTCTACACTCCAAGTACCCTTTCTTTCAAATTTACCCCAAATTTTATATTTTACCCCTCTGAGTGTTGATTAATCACAATGAAACATTGTGACAGAGCACGGACTTGAGGTTACTAGAGTATTAAATAATCTAGGTCCTATTTAGGATTATATCTGAAAAATCCAAATTTGGCCAACGCCCACCAATGCCTTGACTCGTTAAATAGTGCACCTAAAAGCGAGCTTTTTTTGGGTGGCGGGTGGCAAGTTTGTGAATGGACATATGCCTGATGTAAGCCGAGCAGACCTTCTATCATCAACATACCACAAATTTTCCACAATACATGGCGATTTGCACCACTAGTTGTAATTGAAACATTCAGCAGTCACGCGTCAAAGGGGAGCGACACGGAAACAGCAGTCTGGTACGCTTTGAACGTGTATCATACTTGCAGACCGGTTTGAATGTGTGAGTTTAAATTAGAAGAACATTTGTGATGTATGGATGATGTATAGCCTAAAGCGTGCATTTCTCACTGTGCACTTTGATATCTGATTGCAGGCAAAGAGAGTAAAGGGCTGAACACAATGATAGCGGCATAGCGGCAATCGCAAATTTTCCAATACACTGAAATCCGTTTTACAACCTACAATGAGCGCGTTGCGGCAAAAGCGGCATTGTACTACAAGGCTTTTTTTTTCAACATTTTGGAAAAACGCGCTGCGGTTGAGCGGAAGCCTGAGAAGTGCTCATCGTTTTCAGTTGTATTTTTTTGTAATTTTGAGCTAAGCAGAACTTTCAAGACGTGAACCAAATAATCATCCAAGGTCGTAGTATGTATTCAGAACCATGCATCCGGACATATTTTGGGAACCCCCGGAGAACTGGTCAGATTCTTCTTGAAGCAACACCCACATGTGACACATCAAATAACATGATAATTCAAAAATATGATCATTGGTGGCATATTAAGTACTGAAGATCACTTTAGCCAGATCCGGACATGTTACGGGTACCCCCGGGGAAGTAAATCTACACCCTCATGCGACACACAAATAAGATCATTGGTGACCATATTAAGTACCCAGTACTACCATAGAGGTAACTCTAAGACTAGAAGGTTCCGAAATAACGTGCTCAACTTTTTGGCTCAGCTCTGGTACTTTCTTCGGTCCCAAGCTAATCGATTCACCCCTCGAAACATAGGAAACACCAATAACCCCTCATTTTATCTGTCAAACTTTCATAGCGAATCAAAACAAACATTGCGTAGTACTTTAATTTCGACTAGAATGGGATACGTTAATCGTTTGCTTGGGACCAATAGGCTAGTCAAGTAGTGAGCCAATTTAAAATCGTTAGTTTCGTATTGATTGTTGGTACTACGTTGGCCAGATCCGAACATATTACATATACCCCCTGAGAAGTGAAACTTGAACCTACATCCTCATGTGATACACCAAACTATATGACAATCCAAAAGTAAGAACATTGGTGACCATATTAGATACTCAGGACCACACTGGCCTTATATCTTCCGGGTGCTCCCGGGGAGTTTCGTATATTTCCCGAAATTTTCCTGAGGCCAATGAAACTTCTCTGGAGTTCTCGGAACTTCCCTGAAATTTTCTTCAGAACTACTCTGAAATCCTCCTCAGAATTTCTCTGAAGTTCTCCTCAGAACTACTTTGAAGTTCTCGTCAGAACTACTTTGAACTTCTCCTCAGAACTACTTTGAAGTTCTCGTCAGAACTACTTTGAACTTCTCCTCAGAACTACTCTGAAGCTCTCCTCAGAATTACTTTGAAATTCTCCTCAGAACTAAGTTCTTTTCAGAACTACTCTGAGGTTCTCAAAAAAAAAACTTCTCTAGATCTTCGATGAAGTTTTCAACATTTTCCTGAAATGTACGAAGTTGTCTGAGTATTCTCTTGAAGATCTTTAAACTTTCCCGCTTGTCGGGACTTCTCTCAAGATATCTTTACTCCCCCAGAAATTCTTTTAAATTCTCAATAAATTAGAGTTGTCTGGATTTCCCTAAAATTCACGGAACTTTCCTTAAGCTCCCGCAGTTTTCCTGATATTCATACCTCTTCTCCGAAGCTCTCGATATTTCCGTCAGCGTCAGTTGTAAATCTCTCAATTACCGATGGTTGCGCCGGTGTGCCTGTCAAAACTTCCGAAGAACTTCAAGATTAGGGCGTAATTGCTTTTGTAAACTAACCGGTCAATCGCCGGTTTCTCGCGAATTAAAGCTCAATTTAAAAACCTAACATCACAAACAGGTAGAGGAATGATTCCTCCATCATTTAGTATAGTTTGTTTGCAAGATTGAGCTTTTATTCGCGAGAAATCGGTGATATACGTGTTTGCTTACAAAAGCAATTACGCCCAAATCTCAAAGTTCTCCGGAATTATGAGCTTCCCCTGGTTCATTCTGATAGTGTTGTTCTGATGAATGCTAAATTAATTCAAGTTTGCTATCCTGGGGACTTCATGAGTTTTCTATAGATGTTGACACTGTTTTGTATCAAATAATGTTATCGGAAGTGTTTGACGGATATTCTTCATTACACTTCAGTCGAAAGAGTTAGCCTTGTGATAAAAACGATAATTAGGCAAGTTTTGCAATTCCTCCTACTTGAGTTAGCGCGAAAAGGGACATACAAGTTTTTTTTTTCCACAAGATGATAGGCCCTTCAAATGTTACGTTAGGTAGTGATAACTATAATATAGTAATTGCGAATATGTCCCTCGTATTCATTGAGTATTGAAAAAGAAACAAAAACCAATATGTGGTGGTAAACTATAACGAACAATGTTTGGTGCACAGGTAAACAAATGAGGCACGCGACGCCTCTGATTGCTGCACCATTGATCAGATGCTGCTTTCACATTATCAGTGAGGTGTATACAGGTGTGGGAATTTTCTATATTTTATCCAGTGATGTGCATATGAAGGCTAGTTATAAAATGTAATAATAAGGTTAGTTAGTTATAAAATATTTAAAGCATTTCAACTTGCCCCATTTTTCGTCACAATCTCATTGCAAAAAATCAGTACAGTTGGTTGGAGGACAACCCAGAAATAGTAGTGGGTGCCCGTAAAAAAATGTACACGTTGTTACTTTAGAAAACAGTATGTTTAAAATAGAGAAAAAGGAGTTTAAGTTATCTTAACCTTAGATTTTTCTTTAATATTTTTTTCTCAAATAAACTTTCTCAACACACAATCCAGGTTGTTGAAAACTAAATACACCTGTATTTTCGCCTGTATTTAGCTGCATCAGGTAATATTTGTCTGCATAAGCGGCATTAGTTGTTTTGCAGCTTTAATTGATTGTTACTCCATCCGATCAATTTAAATGTTTTTTTTTTATTGTAAAAAAATATTATAACACATACTTATATTATAAATTTACAGACAGTCTGGTCTGCGGTCAACTTATTATAGTAACACTAATGTTAATGTTACGAATAAATAGCATTTATAATGCGAATAGTTGTCAACAATTAAAAGTATTTTGTTTAACGTTTATTTCATTTTCATTTCTTGGTTATTGTTCAGGATGGACTACACTACCAACCACTCTAAACTTTGTATTTCTTCTAGACAGATTTTTCTCCGTTTCTCCCCCTCTCTCCCCCCCCCCCTCTACCTGTCTACGTCCTCCTCCAGAAAGTCTTCAACAAAAGGCTGTTCAAACCAATTCGAAAACATCTTAATGTCAGAAAACTTCCATAGCATCTGCTGGGGCCGTCAACCACTTCCTCCGATCGCTGCTTCAAGAATTTCAGAGGCCGTGCCAGTCCGTCTCTATTTCAGGATTGGAGACATTTGGGTCTTTATAAGTCGGTTCCGAATGTTCAGTGTTCCAAGACCCCCCAGAAAATGAACTGGAAATTGATGACGTTTGATATCCGAAGATTTAGCGCCTTTGTGTGGAGGCCGACGTAAAAAGGCATTAGAACCCGAAAATGTATCGGACTTTGTCCCTGTGAAAGTACTTCCCTCACAATATCGTATCACAGCAGGCACTGCAACACTAGAGTTGTCATTTAACACAAGAAAAGATGGATAAACTGCCGACAGCGCGAATTAACCGCTCCAACAGCGATCATGCTGCCCTGGTAAACCGTTCCGTTGCCCGTGGTTGCCTTTCCGAGAAGCTCCCGAAAGTTAGGACGACACAATCCACGACCAATATGTAAGTTCTAGCGCTATGGAGAAAGGTAACTAGAAATAATATAATTTTACCGATTCTTGAACAGTTCGAAATCGCAAAACGTCTTGCCGAAGACGTTCAGCAAATTCACCGTTAGGAAACCCAACAGACCTGCTCTGAAGCCCTTCTGTCGGGAAGAAGCCAAATCAAAAGATACAATCAAGGTACCGAAACCTGTGAGAAAATTCCCAATGGAGAAATCACTTACCATGATCGAGATGAGCTCGCCAGCCAAGCAGCAACAGCATGACCAACCTACTGGGGGACTGTCCTTTTCGACTACTGCTTTGGCCGATGAGGGAACTACCCGGATGGTCAGCAACACTAGCAAGCTGATCTACGAGACGGGATTCAAGCTGCTGCTTAAATGCTGGAGGGATAATAAAAGGCAGATTGATCGGATGAATGCACAGCTCAGTCAAAAGGATAATACGGTGGGTAAGGTCCTTGATTTAAAATTATGTTACTCTAATTCACAGTAATTACAGTCGATCAAGTACCTCAATCAACTGCATACCATTCAGTCACTGTATCAAAACGAATGCCGAAACCACGAATCGGCACGAACCGATATCAAAGCGCTGAAGCAAATACTGGAAGGCCTTAAAACGAATCTTCTGCAGGAGAAGAAGGCTCATCTAGACAAGGTTTCCGAGCTGGAGGGCTTCGTTCTAATGAGAGACAAGCTGCAGTCGCAGCTGACTCACGCCGAGGAGGAACTGGCCATAGCAATCATCAACTGGCACAGCTTCGAGTTCAAGTTCAAGCAGCAGGAAGAAAGCTGTCTCCAGTTGACGTCAGAGAAGAGGGAACTACTGAAGCAGGTATGTTGGCTACGTTCGAAGGGCTAGTCATACGAGTGGCGACAGGTTCTCTAGCGGCTATCGGAAAATTAATGTTCGCTGGTGGGTGGAGCAGGTTGGGATGGAACAGGTTACACGATTCGTCATTCGTTGGTTTGATATTGTGGGATGATAGATGTTGAGTAATTTAGTGGTTGCGTCTCTAATTACCTAGAAATCTTATGATTTGATTTGTATGCATGTACTATCATACAATAGGTGCCTTGCTAGTAGCAAAATCTTTACCTCTAACCTTGTGCTGTATGGACAGTAATGTTTTACTGGAGACCTGGCCCTAGACTCCCTTCTGTGCGTGAAAATGAAAATGAAAATGAAAATGAATTTACTGACAGCGAGTGGTTTGTCTAGAATTGTTCTTAGGGGCTGTTCATTAGGTACGTACACAGTTTTTTGGGATTCTTTACTCCCCCTCCCCCTGCGTAGACAATTGTCCATACAATTTTTTTTTTAATTTGTCGACGATGGGCTCCCACTGGTTTGGCGGTGATGTGGTATCATGCAACACGTCAAAACATCATGTCGAAGTCGTGTAGCGTGTGCAACGCGTTGCTATGATGTTTTAACATGCTAGCAGATGCCACACCTCCACCACAACAGTGGACATGGCACACAACAGTGGCATAAGTTAAAAATCGTTCTGTTGTAACCCAGTCATTGATTCGTTGCTAGACCGTCTAGCAGTATAGTTCGTTCGTTCGTTCGCTTTGCTATCAAGTTTTTTCTAGTTCGTTTTATTGCTACGTTCGCGTCGTGGAAGTGCCGTCATCGACAGGCGCATTGGCAAGTCTAATTGCACTTGCCAATAAACAAAGCATGGTACGCAAGCGTACTACTGCTCCTGCATCGGAGGGCCCTAGCAAGAAGGCCCAAACTGATCCCAGTGCTGCCTCGGATGACGCAGCAAATCGGCTGCTACAGAGCAACCAATTCTCGGTGCTCGGAGTAGAAAATGGCAGTGGTGACGCCGCTGAAATTGCGAAAAAGGAGCGAATTCCCCCGCTGTTTACCCCGATGAAGGACATCGCCCAGCTTAGAGATGAGCTGGCAAAACGCAAATTCTTCCCACGATTCAAAATCTGTAGCGTTTGAACAAAGATCATGTGTTCCAGCCTACAGCAGTACAAGTCGGTCGGTGACCTGCTGAAGAACAGCACAGTGGAGTTTCACACTCACGATTTGCCTTCGATGAAACCATTGAAGGTTGTTTTACGAGGTCTGCCGTCGTACGAAGCGGCTACCAAGATGAACTGGTGAGGCTCGGATTGAAACCAGAGGCAGTGGTCTTTCAACAACAGTCAACGAGCCGCCCCCTCAGCTCAGCATCGCCTCACTGCTGCTGCTGCAGCTCTGCCAAATCAAGCTTCTGACTATCGTATGCCCGTGTTGCCTGAGGTGACTCAGTTGACGAATCTCCGTTAACATCAGAGGAACTAGTAACGCTGGCTGCAGAGGTGATCGTCATTCTGCGCACCTGCAAGACTCGATAGGAACAGCTTCATGCTGCCTTGTCACTCGTCACCAAGTATGGACCGTGAAGCTATAAAAATTGCAAATTGGAACGCTTGCTTACTGACGAACAAGCATAGAGAGCTACTCGATTTCCTCAACACCAAGGAGGTCGACATTGCTATCATCACCGAGACGCATTTGAAGCCTGAACTGAACGTATTCCTTCCCGACTTCCGGCTCGTCAGACTTGATCGCACCTGCTATGGAGGTGGAGGAGTGGCCATCGCTGCAAGACGGAACATCAGTTGCCGGCTGCTACCAAACTTCCAGCTGAAAACAATTGAAGTCATCGGAGTAGAGATGAGCACATCACTTGACCCAATCATTATCATCGCGACCTACTGCCCCAAGCAAACCAACATCAGGGACGGGTCGTCAGTGGCCCTCCGGAAAGACATCATCAAGCTCACCCGGAGGAGCGGGAACTTTATCATCGCTGACGATCTGAACGCAAAACACCAAGCTTGGGGCAACGGTTGGAGCAATAGAAACGGCCCCATCCTGAATGAAGACCTGCAAGAGGGCCACTATACCATCTTGGCCCCGGACTCTCCCACCCGGTTGAGTCGGCCTGGGGTCCATGCGACCATCGACATCTTTGTAAGCAACATGGGACACAACATCTCGCAACCTGTGCCATTCCAGGAGCTGAGCTCGGATCACTACCCGGTGGTGGCCGAAGTAGGATCCTCGGTAAACTTCCCGGCGCAACTACCATCGAGTCAACTGGGCGCAATATCAACACTGCATCGACACAACCATCGACTACGATGTCCAACCGGGGACGTCCGAAGATGTTGACCGGTGTCTACAAACCATCGAGGAGGCGATTTCCCGGGCCAGGGAACAACACGTGCCACACAGAAAAAAATTCTGAATTTTAACTATCGCGTAAAATCTCCCTTCGTTTAATGTTGAGCTATACTTGGCATAAACAGCGAAATCGTTTACAAGCTTACATACAATATTGCTAATTTATGCGATATTGCGTTTAAATTTACACGAAAAATGGCGTAAATTTGTGCCAAATCTAGCGTTTATTTTATGTGCGCTATATCTCGCAGAAATTTACATGAATTTTCCGATCGGTGCAGTATCCAGACAGGTGAGTAACACTCTGAACCTTGACAGCCCTACCAAAGGTCTCATTAGACTCCGTAACACCATTCGTAGGCAGTACCAGCGTACTGGCCTGCCTAACTTGAAGACCAATTGTAATCGATTAACAAAGATCATTCAGGCCAGGATGGTGGATCTCAGAAATAACGATTTTGCTAGTAAGATCCGCTCTCTCCCAGATTGTGCTAAGCCCTTCTGGAAACTTACAAAAATTCTTAAAAACAAGCCTAGGCCCACTCCACTACTGACCCCACTGGATCGTCCCGGCGACCCACTGGTTAATCTGATAACTCCTGAAGAGAAGGCTGCCGCGATAGGTCAATACTTTGTAACCGTTTAGTTACAATGTTCTACACAGTTCGAAAAAGTAGTGTAAATTTCTGTTCAATATGATGCACATAAATGGAGCGTCACATATCATATACGTTTACATTATATATCATGTAAAGTTCTGACACATTACATGCAATGCAGCAGATATTGTATACAAAAGCCCATCTTTCTAAACAACATTGTTTACAAGTTGCTCGGTTGCGTGAAATGAAGTACAAGTTTACGTGAATGAATGTTTAAATCACAATTAATATTCAGAATTTTTGTCTGTGTAGATTTTAATTTGTGCATGTTGTTTTAGTAAACTGTAGTGTTTGTTTAGTGTCAGTGGTAGGTTAGTAGGATTAGTAGAATCAGGTAAAATTGCTGTTATTGACAAATTTATAAATTTGTGTTAGTAGGTAGTTTGAAATTGATATTTGTTTATACAGTCAACTCTCCCTTACTCGATATTTGCTCTAACTCGATGCAGAACCGAACACCGGTGCCGTAGGTGCATTTGCCTTCTACCTGAGGGTAGAAAAAGTTGCTCCAATGTTCCTTGTAGGTCTACAGAGCGGAGATGAACTAGTAAGCCAATACAAATTCTGTCAATCAAGCTTCAAATTATACCGATTAGTCTTGGATATTTGGCCAACCAGTAGCAATAATGATGATGTATTTCGCGATAGATTGTGACAAACATACAAGTCCGATGTTGGAGGCGAACCAGCCCTAGGCTGAAAGCCTCCCTAATAAAGATAAATTAATTAATTAATACAAGTCCGATCATTATCGGTGAAAATTGGAGTGAAATAAGTTCGATTAAAGTGCCTCACCGCGTAGGGACAGACTCGCCTGTGTCTACACAGATAAAAATTCTGAATTTTAATAGTGATGTAAACATTCATTCACGTAAACTTGTATTTCATTTCACGCAACCGAGCAATTTGTAAACAATGTTGTTTACAACAATGGACTTTTGTATACAATAATTGCTACATTGCATGAAATGTCTCAGAACTTTACATGATATATAATGTAAATTTATATGATATGTGACGTTCCATTTATGTGCATCATACTGAACAGAAATTTACACTACTTTTTCGAACTGTGTACAGTTCGTGTACAGTGTACAGTGGTGAAAAGGTTTTCACTGAGAAGGGAAGTCACTTTTTTTGTGATTTCGCTTTGTAGGCGTGACATTAGGTAAGAAAATCTTTTGTTTTTCTTTATTTTACCGTCTCTGGGGTAAACAACGGGAATTCCTTCAAAATCATGTAAAGGGTGATACGGTCAAAATTTGGTCAAGGGAAAACGCGTGTAAATCGGTGAAATCGTTTATTTAAAAAATCAAATTAAATTTCTTTTTCAAGTTCAATTAGTATAAAATTCAGGAAAAATATTCAGTTAGGCTTCCGCTTTTCCAAATCCGAATTGCCGGGCCTTACGCTTGACCCCTGCCATCAGAATTTGTACAGCCACCTTGTCCACCTTCTTCGCCGCAGAAAGCCAGTTTGCCTTGAACTGCTGCTCGCCCTTAGCAGTTTTTTTTGGTCTTCTTTAGGTTCCGCTTGACAATAGCCCAGTATTTCTCAATTGGGCGGAGCTCTGGCGTGTTGGGAGGGTTCTTGTCCTTGGGAACCACCTGCACGTTGTTGGCGGCGTACCACTCCATGGCCTTTTTACCGTAATGGCAAGATGCCAAATCCGGCCAAAACAGTACGGAACAACCATGTTTCTTCAGGAAAGGCAGCAGACGTTTATTCAAACACTCTTTCACGTAAATTTCTTGGTTGACAGTCCCGGAAGCTATGAAAATGCTGCTTTTCAAGCCACAGGTACAGATGGCTTGCCAAACCAGATATTTCTTTGCGAACTTTGACAGTTTCATGTGCTTGAAAACATCTGCTACCTTTCCCCTTCCTTTTGCCGTTTAAAACTCCTGTCCCGGAAGCTGCTTGTAGTCGGCTTTGACGTAGGTTTCGTCGTCCATTACCACGCAGTCAAACTTCGTCAGCATCGTCGTGTACAGCCTCCGGGAT